AGGTGGGTGAAATGAGGACCCAGACTGTGGGGGCGATATGCTGACTCTGTAAACCGCTTAGAGAGGGTTGAAAGCCCTATAAAACGGTATATAAGTCTAACTGCTATTGCTATTAATTTTAACGGAGTCCCTTTTGGACTTTTGGTGCAAAATGTGAAAAAAAATGAAATTATGATATATAGGTTTAGTGTTTAGTAAAGATTCATTTATAAAAAAGTGAGTCTTAAGTTGTCATTCGCAGTTGCAGCATTTTGCAATCGCATGATATGATTTATGTTGTATTGCTGCCACAAACTGGGCTTTTTGGCCAGTTTCTAGAAAAATAAAAGCCCATAGGATTGAATTGATTCATTTAATGACTACTGTGCTCACTTAATGACCACCACACAAAAAAGTAGTAAAATGGAAACAGTCACGTGAGTGCCTTGTCTTGCAACTCTCATGACTTAGAACATAAATTTTGGCTTCCACAACAGCCATAAACCGAGAACTACCTGTGTATAGATAATGTAAATTCTTATCTTTTGGTCATGTTTTTCACTCTGCCTGCTTACTTTCTAACCTCGTTTTCCCACTTACGGCTTTGCTGATGTTTTAATAAACAAAGAAGCTTTATTTTTGCTAGCTAATCTGAACAGTGCTTACATATTTACTCTCATCTGGATTTAGAGATTGCCTAGGAATGTGCTGGGAGAAAGGGAAGCTGAAAGTTAGCAATTTTCCCATAGGCCTATGCGTGCGGAAGGCATAAATAGAGGGATTTAAAGTCTTTTTAAACACACAGAAGATATCTTACTGGTGTAGCTAAAGGTTTCCCTGAAATCTCAAATTATATTTCTCATTTTTAATGAATTGATCCCAATACAAAATTATGCCTCTTTCTTTCATCACATTCATCAATGAAATTGTGAGGGTTATTTTTTAAAAATCATTACAGTAAACCATCATGTGTATGCCTGCAATTTTGGACTCTGCGTTTTTAAAACTGGTTCCCCCCCCCCTTAAATTTCCTGACAGAACAATGAATCAGTGGAACGACTTGCCTCCAGAAGTTGTGAATGCTCCAACACTGGAAGTTTTTAAGAAGAGACTGGACAACCACTTGTCTGAAATGGGATAGGGTCTCCTGCTTGAGCAGGGGGTTGGACTACAAGACCTCCAAGGTCCTGTAGGAAGTTANGCAGCACATATACTAAAATTGGAACGATACAGAGAAGATTAGCATGGCCCCTGCGCAAGGATGACACGCAAATTCGTGAAGCGTTCCATATTTTGATGATTTTTCCTCCCTCTGTTGATGACTCCAGTTAGCAACATAATTCTCACACCTAATGCTAATCTGTTATGATTGTTACCACTGTTGCTGTTTTTTGCTATGTTTCCTGTGGCTTTGGAAAATATTGCAGATATCAACTCATCTAAATTCCAAACCACAGCAACAGCAGCATTTTCAGCTGCTCTTTTTTTAAAAAAATGAAATATTTGTATCTTTGTATCAAATGAAATCTTTGTACAACATGCAGTCATCATCGACGTGGCTTTGTTGGATTGAAACGGTGCATCCCATTAGCCCAGTCATCTGTTTCCAAAGTTAAACTTTATGCTAAATCCTCAACAAGTGGAACAAAAAGTTGGACTGCTCCTAGAAGTGGAGGCTTTGTTTCAGGATGTGAGAAAACTTGCTGGGACACACCTGGCAGTTTGTTTGTTTGTTTGTTTTTGTTTGAATAAGTTATCCAACTCTGATGAACTCTGATACAGATAGTGGGAACTGGTAACATTCAAAGATCAATTTCGAAATCATTATTTAAGGCAATGTTTCTCAATCTCAGCCGGCTGGGGAATTCTGGGAGTTACAGTTCACACATCTTAAAAGTAGCTAAAATTGGGGAAACAAGGACTGTATGGGTATTGTAGCCCATGCAATTGCATAGCATGTCCATCAGGGGGGGCTCCACAACTACTTCTAGGTCCTAGGAATAGCTATTGCATGTATATGTATATGCATATACAAGCAATCGCTTTTCCAGTATTTTTGTTGCAGATTTAAATAACAGGTCTGTTCTTGTCCTAGATTCCTTTGTGGATTATTCTGAAAGTTTCCTTTAGCCTTGAAAGAATCTCTACCTGAAAATTTCTCTCTGTCCCTATCCTGTTGGAAAGTTGCAGATCTTCCTACTTCTCTGTTCTTTATCCTTCCTCCCTTGTCCACCACTATTCCCCCAAAACACTCTAATCCAATGTTTCTCTACCTTGTGAACTTTAACATATATGGACTTCAACTCCCAGAATTCCCTAGCCAGCATGCTCCCATTTGGAGAATTATGGGGAATTGAAGTCCACCCACTTTAGACTCAGACTAACTTTATTGTCACTTTGAATGTACATTAATGGAG